GTAAACTACATTAATTGAACAATAGAAATGGCAATTCTATACTTACAACAAGGCTGGACTGATATACCTTTGGAGATAGGAAATCTTCATATTAACGGTGGATGCTCTGGTTGTTTTTTTACTTGTATTACTACATTGGTCTGGAGTAAGAGACTTACCATCAAAGCACTGATTTGAGATGCTATCATAAACTTTTAGTAGCCTTTACAGTGCTAATAACTTGGCATCAGTAACTTATCACTGTCAAGTTCATAACTAGCATTTTTCTCAGCATCCTCTTTGTAGATTCATTTTTTATAACTCTTAACTCGTGATTCTCAATACTAACTAACCCATTAACTGGGCTTTGCCTAGTTCTTGACCTAATTTCGTGATACAGGCATCCTTACTTACACCATTTCTACATGTATGTGTATCATGCTCAGAATACTTAAATCTCTGTAGCTTCTTTCTTAACTCTTGAGCAACAAAAATACTTAAGCAATTCTAAAATTTCTTCAAAATATCCAATTGCTTCAATTCATATTTTCTATATTAAAAAGTTTTATCTATAATATATGCTTTCCTACTTAATTTTTTATTTTCCTTATGTAAACATTAAAGAAGTTGCAATCCATTACCAACTATTATGTTTCAACACTAACACACCATGTTATAGATAAGGCTTGGGATAGCCTAGTTTTTAGCATGTCTGAACAGTGGATGAGAAGATTCATGGTACACACCCCATTGCCACAAAAATGCTTTCTGTGCTTTGGGCCATGTATGTGTTATAAGAGTAAGTCTCATCATCAAGTAAGAGTAAATCAAGACTTGGTGGTTGGTGCTGCCATCTCTCTAGTTTATTACTTCAAAATTATGGTTAAGCACAAATAACCCTTGTATAGCTTTGCATGAGATTTTGAAACAAACAAATTATAAATGGTTTAATGAGATATTTATATACACGTGTCTCGTAATCTAAGTTTATGAGTCAAGTCTAGAAGAAGGCTCCACAGTCTCATTGTGTTGGAAAGATAGGTCAGGGTGGACAGAAACGCCCACTGTGTTTAGTACAGGCATAAAACATAGGTATGAGAAGTGAGAGTCTAAAGTAGATTACTTGACTAGTTTTTGTAACTTGTATCGAAACCTAACTAGCAGATGTCTCATGGAACAATTCAATGGAAACTTCCTAAAATTAATGATGAACAAATATAAAATGTGAAATCAACCCAATGCCATGGATGACAGTGTATATGCAATATGATTGTCTAGTGAGCCGTTTTCAATCATATTTTGTCATTATATGGGTTATTTCAATAACAAAAATTACATTGTGTTTGATTATAAGCAAAGAAGACTGTAATGCACTGTTGGTAAAAATATTTGGGTTTCAATGCAATGGGTGATCCAGCATAATAGAGCTAAGGTTTGCTAAGTAACCATGGGGATTTTTTTCCTGCTGGATACTACCACTCCTTGTCATTTTTATGAGTGTCAAAAAGACCACTACCAAGGTGAGCACTTTGACAGTTGTTATTTTTTATAAAGAGTGCCAAAGAAAAGATATTCAATTTAATTCAGATCAATTTATTCAACATGGTACAATAAAATCATGCATGTATAAAATACTGACAGGAAAAAAATTAATTTGAACCAAACAACAACAAAAGTATACTCAAACACGTCCTTCTCTTTATACGTTTTTTCCATTCATGCTCCTATCTTCAAAATGCTTCTTTCAATTACTCAGTGGAGGAAATCCCGTTTTTTTTAATGAAGTTCCCTCACAAAAAGAAATATTTTTATTCTTAATAACTTTTTCTCAGATTGACCATTCAGCACATACAAAAACTAACAAATCGATGTTGATATCGAAATGAAATTTTAGGAATTGCCCAAAATGAATAATTTTCTTGTAATGTTTGTTTGTTTTGAAATTAAGCACAAAGCTACACAATGGACTATCTGCTTTCTTCTCACCACGGGGATCAAAACCTGGAATGTACTCTTGAAAAGAAGCATTTTGATACATATACAGTACTATCCAAAAGTGTTAGGACAAGAGAATATTTTGTCTTTCGTTCCATTTTATGGGGCTAATTCTTCCATGTCATTACAGAGTGTAAATTTCAACACTATAGTAATGCTTCAGTGATCCCTGTTGACAATTGAATGTGTTAGGGTGAGAATACTTATCATTCTTTAGAATTCCCATATACTTGTACCAAGGGGATGTCATAAGGGTTCTACCTGAATGAACATACTGATCAAATTTAGGGTATGAAATAACTTTTATGGTACACTATGCAGTGTCTTAACTATATAGAAAGAAGCTAGAATATGGTACCAGTATATGCTAGAAGAAATCAATGTAATTGCACTCCACAAATAAACCTTGATAAAAACGGTATTTAACACTATATATTAAGTTTTGTTGTCATGCCACAGCCCAAAAAGTATAGAAAATTGTCAGTAGAACAGAGAGTTCACATAAAAGCTTTATGTGATGCTGGTTGGACTCTCTTACAAATTGCTGCAGACTTGAAATGCTCC